GCATTCCTGCTCTTCAAGCCTCTCTGTACCTTCCTCTTCACGAGAACTGCGAATGATCTCGCCATCCAGGCGTCTTTCTTCACATCCTCTTTCACAATCTCCTGGTTGGGGAAGATGAGCTTGTGGAGGGCCTTGATCCTGATTTTAGGCTTTTGTCTTGCATGTGTTGCGGTCTTTAATGACAACTGTAATACACAGTTTGTACGAAAGAAACGAATCAGAATGAACAGCAAGCCGCTCTGTCTCAACCATCTTGATGCTGTAAAGCTGACGGCCATGGCCCATTCGCTTAAGAAGTGGTTTCAGCACATGCTTGTTCAGAGCAGGTGTAATTACCACGCACTTGGGGTCAAAGTTCCCTGGTTCCGTGTTCTGGAACAGGCGGCGCCGCAAACGAAAGTGAGCTCGAACTTGCTCACACCCCTCCCACTCGTGGTGCACACCGTTCAAGGAAATCTTTCGGTCCATGGCTGGAATCTAGAATGATCGATGCCCAATGAGGCTCCCTACTTTAAATGCTGTATGGTCGCAGGAGCAGCGGTCACGTCTTGATTAGCTCTGCAGAAGATGAGCGAACTGTTGTGCGGTGGTTTCGAATGCTTAGGGGGAGGTTTCCTTTACTTCTGTTGTCCTTAAGTAGAAGTCGGGGATGCCACCATAACAACTCTGTTCATACCTTATAAGCCCAAATATAACCTACGTTTCTAAAGACTTATATCAAGAAATTATAATAAGGAACCCTACAAAGGTAGGTTCTGTAGGGTCAAGGTATGGCCTCATAGAATGCCTAGAACTGTTTTAAGACCCCTATAAACCTAGAGGCATATCTAGACCGTGGAGCATTGTCTCGTAGCATTAAACAAATTGTGCCCCAGAAACTGAAAATATCAACTACAACCCTATGTGTCTATCAACCTTTCATGTGCGGCAGGCTCCGGCCTCCCAGGCATCGACGCTGCAGCGGGCGGCTGCTCTCCTCCCTTCCTTGACCTATCTATCTTATCTTCCCTTACATATATAATCTCTCAGAAACCGCCAACCCCCTGACTATAGCAGTAGCATAGTTATGGTCGGCCATCGAGAACAAGCCACTTCAGCTATCTATCATAAATGCGATAGTCTGTTCAATAGTTGTAAAGGTTCATAGAAGGCAATGTAGGCCCATAAAGAACTAGCCACTTCAGCTGTGCATAATGTGGTAGCTGTACTTTGATCCACTGGGCAAGCTCATAACAACAGTCATATCACAAACAAGGGTCATTCACCAAAATACGGGTCACGGGCCAGAATACGGGTCATGAGGCAAAAAGCCAGGTTATTGATCTGAGAACCCGTCTTTTTAGATACGGCCTGTGAAAAGGCAGGATCCACAGGCTACAGGTAAACCCTAAACCCTAAACCCTCTTTTCCTATCTAGAAATAAGAAATATCTCAATATAATCTATATATATATATATATTTCCTATAAGAATCCTATATAAATTTCCAATGAGAAATCCTTCCATATTGGCCGATATTCCAAACCTCTCCCTCGTGGGCTCTTCGTTCCTTCCTCCGAAAAAGGTTAACCAAGGCCGCCGCGCTGAGCGTGGGCAAAGTATTGCTTGCACTCCCCATCCAAAGGAACATGCATACACACCCGCCCCCATGGAAAGGCTAAGCAAGAAGGGCGGGCGGAGCCGCCACAAGCAGTGTATTTCGGCTTCCCGGCTCCCCTACACAAGCTCGCCCAAGTATTCCGGAAGCACCTGAAGAGAAGAGGCAACGAATCCTAACAGAATGCCGCCTCAAGAGCATGTTGGCCGTGTACACGGGCACGTCTCCGGATAAAATCTCCACACTTAAATCCCCACCGGTTCCCTTCAGCTCCTTTTGTTTTTGCTTGCCAAACCCTTGCTGACTGCCGCCTTCGATGCTTGCTTCAAGGCGGCATCTTCCCCTGCAGCACGGACGCCCAGAAGGCTTCGGAGCAACAAATCAAAAACAACCGCTCGCCAACGAGCCCCGGTCCCTGATTCGATGCACCGCGCGCGCTGCCACAAACAATTCATTTTCAATGCAGCACTGGCTTGCGCCGACTCCGAGCGATGAGCGAAGGACTCGGGAACAGCAGACGCTGCTTCGGTCATGCGTGCGGTGTTTGTACACGCATAAATGAGTTGCAGGTCCAGACAGAGCATCTTTGCTCGTAGAAACATTTGATTATCTTGGCCCTCGAAGCAAGGCACGCATTTCAGTATCCGTCTGCCTACCACGCAAAGGTGGCTCAGTTGGGTTGGTTTCCTTTCTTGGGGCCAGGTAGTACTTCGCCACGTTCTTCGCGCTTAGGCAGGCAAAGAAGGAGCTGGTCGCCAGGTTGAAGATCACAAACGGATTGCGGTAGACAAGCCATGTGAAGAAGACCTGCGAGATCATCTGAGCAAGGTCTTCGAAAACGAGCCGCATGGCCGTCATGTACATGCCGGAGCTCTTCAACGTAGAGGGGTCCACCAGTTCCCATGGAGGTGCCATGACGAAGCACATCAGCGCATACCGACACTTGTGCTCGCTGCTGTTATAAAGCAGGATGTGCACGGCACCGCCGATGTTCTGCAAGAAAAACGAAATCAAAAGCGCAACTAGGGACCACTGAGCGAATTCGAAGCCGCAGGACAGCATGATCAGGTTTGTTGTCAAGTCTGCGTATTGGTCATACATGCTGCCATAAGCCCACCCGAAATAGACTTGCAACCTTTTCGTGTACCCGCCTGGGTGCTTGCTGAACTCCTGGAGACATTCAGGGGCGCAGTTCGGGAGCTCCATCAAAGGCTCGTGGGACACGCTGTCCACCTGTGCAGCCAGGACTATGGCCCACAGGGACAAGGAGAATGTCATGGAGACCGCTGTGCAGAGGTGCAGCTCCCAAGCCGTTCCCATTGCGCAGGAGATTTCCAAGACGCTTCTGGTAGTGAAGCTAGTTGCGGCCATGTGGTCAAAGGACCAATACAAAGACAAAGGTACAGCGGCCCAGGGCAATGCAACCGTGAGCAGGACGGTGGATGCGATCTGCAAGCATCCCACGCCAGAGTCTGTGTTCACGCCTAGGAAGGGAAGATGGAGGAAGCCGAACATGAAGGTCCAGACACCCAAAGCCAAGACATGAACAAGGAAGATAGCGTGCCCGGCAGGCGAACCGGCAGCATGAGCCAAAATGCTGGGTAACACCACGGCCAACAGCAATGTCGAAAAGCTCAGTTTCCGCCCCCAGGCCGCCGTGGGCAGTTGCACCTCTTCGGACTTCGCCTCAAACTTCACAGCAGCGGTGGTTGAGTCCGCTGTGATACGGGGCAAGTGGCCCCAGTGACCTTCTTCTAGCGTTTCACTCGGCAGAGGAATGCTGCAATCATCACCTGTCAGCAAGAAAATAGCCGGGGCCGCATCTCTGGCTTTTGTTGTGCACCAGCACTCAAGTAGCCAGGCTGGAAGCCACACCGCCCCTCCCCACGGACAAGTGCTGGCTTCCTTTTCGAGAAGCTTCACGGCCGAGGAACACTTCAATAACGTGGAGGCCAAGGTCAAGCTGTTGGAGTACAGGTCCACTTGCCGATCGACCCGGGCAACCCTTACTATGGAATTCCCGCTGAGCACAAAGGCGGTGTCTGCCACAAACACCAAGCCTTTCGCGGGGCCCGACAAAACCAGAAAGACTTCACCCGCTGTGTCGCCCGGCTTGACCTTCAGAATGCGGTTGTTGAAAGTGTCTGCAATGTAGGCGTGGCCTTCAAAAAACGTGATTCCGGAAGGCGAACTAAGCTGATCCAAGTCGTCACCACGGCCTTGTCCTCCAAAAAACACCTCACCCCGCGTGTTACCCGGCTTGACCTTCAGAATGCGCTCGTTGAAGTTGTCTGCAATGTAGGCGTGGCCTTCGAAGAACGTGATTCCGGAAGGCGAACTAAGCTGATCCAAGTCGTCACCACGGCCTTGTCCTCCAAAAAACACCTCACCCCGCGTGTTACCCGGCTTGACCTTCAGAATGCGATCGTTGAATTTGTCTGCAATGTAGGCGTGGCCTTCGAAGAACGTGATTCCGGAAGGCGAACTAAGCTGATCCAAGTCGTCACCACGGCCTTGTCCTCCAAAAAACACCTCACCGGTTGTGTTGCCCGGCTTGACCTTCAGAATGCGGTGGTTGAACTCGTCTGCAATGTAGGCGCGGCCTTCAAAGAACGTGATTCCAGAAAGATACTCACCGCCAAAAAACAACTCACCGGTTGTGTTGCCCGGCTTGACCTTCAGAATGCGGTGGTTGAACTTGTCTGCAATGTAGGCGTGGCCTTCGAAGAACGTGATTCCGGAAGCCGTACGAAGCTGATCCAAGTCATTACCATAGCGTTGCTCTCCAAAAAAAACCTCGCCCGTTCTGTTGTTGCCCGGCTGGACCTTCAGAATGCGGAATTTGTCCGCAATGTAGGCGTGGCCTTCGAAGAACGTGATTCCGGAAGGCCAATTGATAGAACCCAAGTAAAAAAACACCTCACCGGTCGTGTTGCCTGGCTTGACCTTCAGAATGCGCTCGTTGAATTTGTCTGCAATGTAGGCGTGGCCGTCGAAGAACGTGATTCCGGAAGGCCGATCGAGCTGATCCAAGTCATCACCACGGCCTTGTCCTCCAAAAAACAACTTACCCCGCGTGTTACCCTTCTTGACCTTCAGAATGCGGTTGTTGCCCTGGTCTGCAATGTAGGCGTGGCCGTCGAAGAACGTGATTCCGGAAGGCGATTCAAGATGATCCAAGTCATCACCACGGCCTTGTCCTCCAAAAAACACCTCACCGGTTGTGTTGCCCGGCTTGACCTTCAGAATGCGGTTGTTGCCCTCATCTGCAATGTAGGCGTGGCCGTCGAAGAACGTGATTCCGGAAGGCGATTCAAGATGATCCAAGTCGTCACCAAGGCCTGGGCCTCCAAAAAACACCTCACCCCGCGTGTTACCCGGCTTGACCTTCAGAATGCGGTGGTTGCCCTGGTCTGCGATGTAGGCGTGGCCTTCAAAGAACGTGATACCCGAAGGATACGCAGCGAGCTGATCCAGGCTATCCCCCGCTCCCCGTCCGCCGAAGAATATCTCAGCCTTGGCCTCGCCAGGTTTGACCTTCAGGACGCGGTGGTTTCTTTCGTCCACAATGTAGGCAAAGCCCTCGAAGAATTGCACGCTCACAGGCCTCGAGTAGTCATTGGGCCCAGGCTCCCCTCCGAAGACCGTTGCCATGTCCACACGGCTGACTTGCCTGGCCAGAAACTCTGCAAGCGGGGTGGATTCCGTTCCTTTCCCGAGACGGACCGGAACCAGGAGCTCCACAGTTGAGTTCAAAGGTTTGCTCGGCACGTATCCTTTCTCCTTGAAGGCCAGCAGTTGGCGCAAAGCGACCTTGCCGAGCTCGATGGATGTTTTGTTGCAGCGGCCGCACGTTTCCGGATGGTCCAGAAATGTCTGGAGCACTCTGCGTCGATGACGAAGGACCTCAACGTCGTTCGTGAACTTGAGACGAAGTGCCATCTGCTTCTCGCTGGAGCCGTTCGAGCCATTTACGTAGTACACAAAGTCCGCGGCGTCTAGCATGGAGTGGACCGCAGTGGCCGGGTCGAGTCCGAAGGACAGCATGTTCGGCCCTGGGCTCCAGTCCACGCCGTGCGGAGCGCTTATTGAATTGCGGACCACCTGACAAGGGGGCGTTTGTGTGTGTGTGTGTATACGTGTGTGATTTCGCTTGAAATGCTTCTGAGATAATTAGGCGTGTTGTGTCTTGCCCTCAACCGAATTGTACGGCTCTATCGCCTCAAGATTGAATGTTTTTCGTGGAGCGTTTGTCTCCTGTTTGGGTCAAACCCCACCTTCGCATTCGTTTCAAAGGGCGGCGCGAAGAGGTGGAGCCATGGCCGGGAGTCGCCGAGGAGCGCCAAAGCGACCCCGAAGTTAGCCAGCAACACGGACCGCATATCTGTCAGGAGCGGCTTTTGCTCAAGACTGGTCAGAAATGGCTGCTGGATGCGGCTGTCCAAGCAACGGGCCTACCGTATTCCAGCTGAGGCCGCCTATGCAGTCCAGGGGCAGTTGGCACATTAACGCGATGGCCACTCGCAATCAGACAGCAGCGAACCTATACAGTAAACTACCATCCTGCCTTTTACAGCCAAGTCTGGGCAGCAATTAGTTC